TAGGGAATAACGTCACTGACAGCCGTCTAACGTCCCAGGGGCGACTCCCATAGCAATATGGTAGAGTTGGTACTTAGTGCTCGCCATGGTTCTGGCATGCACTCCCCTCAGCATGGTGGCGTGGGTATACCGTTCCCCATAGCGACCCCTAGAGGACGCAGTTCGAAGTTCCCATGAAAGGGAACGTCTCAGGTTACTTATGTAACCATGGTTCCCTGAGTAGGGAATGAGACACTGCGTCCTCTAGCTTTCTTGCCATGCTGCGGACGCAAGCTTCAGACGAAGAAGTGAATGATATGTGCTCCCGGCGCCTATTTATACTGTAGTGGCACCAGTAGTGACGTCATGGCTGTCGCCGGCCAACGAGTTGGTGTTTTTTCAATGTATGCTTCAGACACGGGTCACGACGAGGTGTTCCCCATAGCGACCCCTAGAGGACGCAGTGTCTCGTTCCCTACTCAGGGAACCATGGTTACATAAGTAACCTGAGACGTTTTCAAAGAAGCCTGAAAGACTTAATTAGTTGAATCAGGTGTGTTTAATTAGGGTTGTTTAATGCTCTCCGTCCTCGGTGGGCACGAGCTTGCGGGAGAGAAAACCCAGTCCAGGGTCGTGACTGCTACGTCCTTGGTAGAGGACATCGGGACTCAATCTTTAAAAAAAAAATAAAAAGACATGAATGAACATGCATAGGCAAAAACAAATGATTTTTTTTTTAAATCACCAATATAGTTTTAGTTTTCAAGATTTTTTTTTACCAAACTTTGTATAAAGATAATTCTCAACTATGTTATAACAGAATGATTTGATATAAAATTCTTCTTTATGCAAAATGTGAGTAAAATGGCCATAAACAGGTTTTCTCATTATATATAATGTATCTATAAACTAAATCTAATTTGCATATTAATGTGTTTTTGGGGCAACATGTAATGAAAAAAGAAGTGTAATAATAGCAGTAATAATTGACAAGATTTTCAAAATCATATATAATATTTCATTGGAATATTGAAATATAATTTCTTTCCCTAATCATTTGTTGTGTCTCCCAAAATGCGTAATAAACATGCTTTTAGTCCCGGTGTCCTCATATGAGGACATGTATGAAATCAACGTCCTGTTTCGTAACAGAAAGTCATATTTTCATTTGAAACCCAATGACATTTTCCTGAGATGTTGATTTATGACACACAGTTTAAAAATTAGTCAGATTTAGATAATTACAAAATATTCATATCATATTTCCATAAGAGTGTCACTAAATTAATATCAGACATATTTGAATATCAAGGAGAGGGAGGGGTAATGGTGAAACATCCAAACATTTAGTATCTCTGAAAAGCCCCGAATGTGCTCTGTACAGGACATCCAGACTTAAAACTGTGGCATGTTTAGTCTCAGAGAAATTCACTAAAATATAATGTCCTCATATGAGGATGCAGGGTCTCAGGAGGTTAGAGGTTTCAAAATATTTCTGAGAGAAAATACATTATATACCCTATAATACAGACATTAGACACATCTTTCTCCCTCCATTTTTCCAGAACCAAATCATGCTATACCGTCAATATATACCTCACCTTTTTGAGGTATTAAATGGGAATAAGATGTGACTTTGATAGATGGGCACTGAGTAATTACATGTTTCATTAAGAAAAATTCAGTGTCCAAAACCCATGATTTGATCATTGTACAATGTGAAAAAAATATTGTAATGCGATATGTGGTAAAGAAACGGTACATAGCAAAGTTCCACACTAGCTGTTAACATGCATGCACACCTGCTACTGAATCCACACAAAACAATATAAAGGAAACAATTCATTAATTGATTCGGGATTCCAATCCAAGATTTACAGATTTATGAATGAAACCTCTTAGAATATGAATTTCAGTCTGAGATCAACTTCTCTCACTGCTATTTTTGTAATAGAAGCCCTTACAAAAACAACTTATACAAGAGGTACCTCAGTATATATATAATGGCACTGAAAAATTATGACTCCTGTGTACCATGGTTATCACTATTGCTTACCATGGTACTTTTCATAAAGAGAGATTCTTGCACTAACAAATTTTATACAAGGTTACAACTTGCCAATACTGATATTCAGTAATTAAATTAAGTATAACTGATCAGTAAGCTGGAGCTGTGACTCTGCTTAATGATTGAACGAGAGCGAGAGAGAGAGATACAAATAATGAAACAAGATGTAACTGTCCAATTCATTGGAATGTTGAAGTGTCAGTCAAGTGTGGTTCATATCACATTGGTGTGGTAGGGGGTCAGAGGGGTGTGAGCCTTGAGGGTCTCTATTAGTCATACTGGTCCCTCAGTCATGCCCTCCAGAGGCAGGCTGGTGGCATTAATAGTGGGTAGAGGTTGATCCTGGGAGAATGGCATGTTGTGGGCAGTCGCTACAGCAAGACTAGCATATGGCAGGTGGCAGTCTATGTCCAGGATGGGTGGGTAGTGCTGCCGATAACAGATGTAGGCAAAGAAGAGGCCAATCAATCCCCCAACAAAAGCATCTGTGAGGAACAAATCAAGGTTCACCAAGTAAGACATAGTCTCAACAAATCTGCAAGTAGGACCTTGGTCCATATATTCATTCAGCTGTATTTCTTTCTTACTGCGTGTCTTTAATATAATACTACTGTATGTTTTCATTCTTTTATTGTTGTTATTCCCATGAATAATTCAAATAAACCACAAAGAGGATGGATTGTATTTTACAGCAAACAAAGCTTTATAGAAGACAAAGGCATCATTTACCCTAAGGCTATGCTATATCTAATTGTGGCTCTACTGAACTGGGTCTTTTAGTGGCCAGAGAAGATAATGTTTTGCTACTGACATAGGATTCTTCAGCAAACACGATTCACCTAATGGCTTCTGCCATTTAATGCCACCCTGGAAGGAAGTATTTAAGCACCACCATTGTGAGGGTTGTTAAAAGAGCTGTACTGCACACTGACACACCGCTGTATAACCAAACCTCAAAGCAATTTCATTCCCAAAAATTGAGGACTAAAATAAAATCAAATGACGGAAACATAATTTTGAGGAAAGACTGATAAATTGCCCCTGGAACAAACCCACACTCATTAGATCAGCTTGCTACAGGCCAAGCTTGTATGAGTCCACAACTTGTATTTACTTGGACCAGATTGGACCCATCAAGTTTAATGGTCCATGCCACTATTGTTCAGGGGTGCGTTTCCCAAAAGCATCATTAGCTAACTACGGTCCTTAGTTCCACTGAACTCTATTCGTAACGATGGAACTTGCGACCATAGTTGCTTTTGGAAAACGCAGCCCAGATTAGTTCTGTTCTATTACCCAGCAGTCCTCGGGACAGGTCCATATAAAGTCACACATATTGTATGTTATAAGTATCTGCTTGCAGTTGTTTGTCTGATATGAGGTGTCCTTCTGCGAAGTGACAAGTAAATAAATGAATATGTATATATAACCAAATTAAGTGTTAATATGCATATTTATAGTTTAAAGTGCCCCTATTATGCCATTTTTAAGGTTGCTAATATTGTTTTATGAGTCTCCTAAAACAGGTTTACATGCATGCAAGGTCAAAAAACACTTTAGTTTTCTCAAAAAATAGATTAAATTTTACCTAATTTCTAAATTATTCGTAAACGACTCGTGCAAAGCAGTTCAAAGAATCAGTCTCTCTAAACCCCTCCTTTCCGTGAGCCCTCACTGCTGTGATTGGTCAGATGGCACAGTCCTTTGTGATTGGTCCAGAGCCGTAGAGAGATTGACTCTGGATTGGTCTAATGATTGGTCTAACGCTAACGCTAACGATTGTACCTTACCAATTCGAGCCAGTCGAAATGGTCGAAGTGGCTGATCGACAAGAGGCTGATTCGCAAGCACGACTGGAGCAGGACGTTTCTCAGTGGTAAGTGTCAAGTGTTAACAAGTTTGTGGTAATTATAAGATGTGACAAAACAAATTTACTCTCACAGCGTAGGATACAGCGTCTTCTCGACATGATGTTAACCACATGGAAATTTTACTGTGTTTGTGGGCGGGTTGGTGACGCAGAACGTGGGCAGACATTATGCAAATGTGTTACTTCGTGACGTAGAGTCGTAACAGAATAAGATTCGAATTCCTGACGACTCATTTAGGCGATTGAGAGCCTACTTTTTTTTTTTTTCTTCACAACTTTGCAGATAGTTTATGTTCACATACAACTACATGACACACTGCATGAAAGGTAATATTCGAAAAGGCATAGGGCACTTTAATATAATAAAATCTAGGACATGCAAACTTTTCTGGAGATAACTGACAGGTCCAGCTGCTTATATGCTGAAAAACTCTTAATTTCTGCTGTCATTAATTTCAAGGATTTCACTTTTTTATTCTCTCTGTAGTTTTAAGTCAGAAATTCATAAAGTCTAAAATAAATAATGATGTAAATAGTAACTTTTCAAAATGCCATACTATGATCAAACTAGTATCTCTGAAAATACTGGCATAATACACAGGAATAGTTCAGACAGACATAAAAATTACTTTCATTTTTCTGTGGAACACAAAAAGAGATGCACTGCTCACACTCACAATTTTCATGCTGCTTTTGTCCACAATAAAACTGAATGGGTAAAATGCTCCAAAGAAGACAAAAAGCCCTCAAAATAACTTTATATAACTTGTACATATATTTTAGGTATTCTCAAGTCATATAATAGCTTTGTGTGTGGAACAGTGTCTCACTTTATTTAATATCAGTGATGAGACATTCAAAAACCATTGACGATTTAAGCACCACATTTATACAGTATGAGTGTGAATGAGATTTAAGACTGGTGGCAGAGTAAAAGATTGTCAATGCATGTGGTTACCTACATTTCATATGGGTTTGGTACAACATGATGCTGTGAAAGGCCCAAAACATACACAATTAGCGTAAAGTGTCTTCTGCTACGGTCAGTTTTCTCTTTCAGATCATGGTGAAGCGAGAGTTTAAATAGAACTTTTCATTTGTTCTTGCTGAACAAATTAAAGTTAGTTAAAATTTTGATATGATTATGAATATATATCGATATATTTGAATAACAAATAAAGTTGAATATTTCAATTGAATAATAACACATCTGGTTTATGTTTATGGCATCACACTTTCAATATGTTGCCTAAACTTCTTGTCCGAGTTAGTATATTTCCATTATGGTTGTTTCTTCACTAAATTATGACAGAATTTTAATTTTTAGGTAAACAACTCTGTGTCACGCCCCTGGACTATCTTTGTTGTGTTTTCCGTCCCCATGTGCTCCGTGACCCCCCTGTCTAATTAGTAATTTGTTCACCTGTGTTCCTCCCAATTCCCTCGTTATCCTGTGTATTTGATGCTGCGTTCAAGTCCACCTGGGATGTTCGTACTTACACGAGTTGACAAGTCGTAATTACGACGTCAGGTGCGTTCAAGTCAGTTTAGTCAGCACAAGATGGAGGTGTACCTTCTTTTAATAAATTACAAGAAAATACAACAGGGTCTGCATTTTTTTACGTGGATTTCAGCTACGTAACAAGAACATCAATTTAAACAAAAATTTACCGTCAACTACAGACGTTGCATCCATTGATTCCGCCATGTTTCTCATTGACGCCCCCAACTCGGAAACTCGGGGCTTAAAGAAAATTTCCGAGTTTCCCACTCGTAATAACGACTTTGTGGTGGCGTTCATGTGTGTTCAACTTGTAAATACGATCTATCCGACATGACTTGAACGCACCATAAGCCCCAGTCTGTGTTTGTTGGGTCTACATGTTGTGAATGTGTGTCATCTTCCCTTCCTGGTGTGGATTTACCCTGTTTGGATTTAATAAAAGACTGTGTTTGCTATTCTACGTCTCCATTGTTCCTTCCGGCAGCGTTACATGACACTCTGCATGTGTGTGGACATGGTGAAATAAGGCAAAAAAATTTTAGCAAATATTCAAGATTGTGGGGACCAAAGGTAAAACTTGAACAAGTGGTCATTTACAAGCCTATATTGACTGACCGCTAATTTGAATATTGGTGATACACATCCCCCTTAATGCCTATGAAAGTTACGGCCAAGAATATAGCATAAAACCAAATAACCAGAGAGACAAAAAACATATTTAAAAAAATTCTTAAAACCAATTGGCCATGTTGTGTTCTTTTCCTGTGCATTGGTTATACACTCTTTCCATCAAATAATGTCATGCCTCCTTCGGATATTCAGACTTTTCATTGGATGGATCACGTGGATTCATATCCTGTCTGAGACTGTTATTGTTGATGACAGTTTGGCTGTGCACCAGGGTGATTCTTGATGATACACAGGCATAATTGATAACTTTGTGGGAAAAAAAATTAGATCAGTGAACTGTAGAGCTGATCTTAAAGCTGGCAAACAATTGCTAATGCTTTGTCTATCTTTATCACAAAGAAGTAACTCCAGCAAAACATGCATAATCAGTATTATGCTCTACAGGTCTTGAAGTGTGTTTGATCCTGTTAAATCTCTGGAAAAAGTTAATTACCTTGATGATATCAGCACAAGTCTATAATAAACTGTCCAATTTTTCTAATAGGGAGCTGCCTTGCTTTCTGCTGTCTACATAAGTGTCAGGGTTTGTTTTGGGTTGTGTTGGTTTTCATGTCTTTTGCTTTGTATTCATGCTCTTAGTTTAGTTTCCTTGTTTGTCATGTGTTCTTTGCCCCTCTTGTGATCATGTCATGTGATTCCCTTGTCTGTGTTATGTTCTGATTGGTTCTTTGGTTCATGTTTCATGTTCTCATTGGTTGTCTTAGTCATGTGTCCTGTCTCTAATTGGTTGACTCTTGTCATGTGACCCTTTGTGTTTGCTATAAGTAGCCCTCTTGTTGCCAATAGGTGCGTTCGACTTGAAGCAACAGATATATACTGATTATATACTGCTTAATACATCGCCATCTGTTCAAGAATAAAGGTCAACGTAAATATATACTATTTAAATACTAACAAAGTGGGGGAATATATGCTTTCATCAGTGTTTTATGATAAACGTGACTCAATATAACATTGCGACTACAGTAAAAAAGCTTTTACTGTTCTAAAAACACAGATTTGTGGCTATTATTGGAATTGAAAAGGTTAGAATAAACCCGAAACACACGTGATGGTTGTCATGCAGTGAATCTGGCCAATCGTGAAATGGCTGTGTCGTCATCAACGCTCCTGCAGTCGCTCTGGAGAAACTGCGCCGGCTGAGTCAGCCGGCTGCTCTCGAAACGCTCTAGCGGTGCTTTGATGCCACACGTGGCAGTGACGTGGTGTTTGTGTCGGTGAGTCTAGTCTGTTCAAGTCAAGTCTGTTCAAGTCATGTCTGTTCAAGTCAAGACTCAGTTTGGATTGTTTGGATTTTGGATTACTGTTGTAAATAAAGCTGCACTTGGGTTCATCTACTACTCGCCTTCAGTGGACTATCATTAATAAGTTGCTTTTTCACAGGTCACAAATATACAGCTTTAAAAAACTTGACTCGAATCTGATTTCAATAGTTTGATGTTAGCATGTTGTATATTGCTGATTAATCATAACATATGTGCTGATCTTTATTTAACTCACAATTATAGATAAAATCTGACTAAACTAATAACACACAAACATTTTTGCATTAGTAAATCAACTAACATTAACATTAAGATAAGATTAACTAAGATTAATAAATACTGTTGAAGTATAGTTCATGCTTAGTTCAGGTTAACTAAAGTTGTTACCTAATTAACCTTATTATAAAGTGTTACCAACAAATCTCTCTCATTTTTTTTTGCCAGAGAGTTCAACTTTTGTCTTAACTGTCCACAGAACATTTTTCCAGAAGTGTTGTAGAACAACAAGTTTCTGGCAATTATAAGACATGCCTATATGTTTGGCAGCAGTGGCTTCTAGGCATGTTCCAGGCAAACTTTAATTGTATAATAATTTAATAATCGCTAAAACATTCATCACGGTATCGATTTATTGAAATAAAATTAAGACTTAAAATAAAAGTAATAACGTAAAGACTTAAGTATTTAAGTCTTTAAAAAAGGGCTATAAAACATGTTAATACCATTTGACTTCCTTTTTTCTCCATTACAAGTGGTGTCAGAAACAGAAAGTTGCACAGCCTTTGTTGTTTACACGCAACCCATGGTAACTACATTATTTCTGCCTTTCTCTAACCTCCACCTACTGTTATAGAGTGAATTTTCATTTTCATTTATTTGTTCTCCTTAGCTACTTTTACATAGCATACGTGTTAATACGTGTTGTTAAATTTAACTTTGTAGATGAAAGATATCTAGAATTATTCACAGGATTTTAAGAGTGCCCATAATTTCTCCAGACGTCCTGTCAATGATCACATTAATTTATAATAGTTTTGCATGAATTCTATCTGGATTTCTGCATTAATTCTGACTGCCAAATGATGACACACACATACTGGTTAAGCAGTTGCATGCTTTTGTGGAACACTGCTGCAAACCTCTCACCTTGCCAGTGATGCTTGTAGTCGCAGGTGCGGGACAGGGCAATCATCATTGCACTGTAGAGGGGCAGGATCATGGCACAGAGACGCCAGCTGCGCCCACGTCCGGCAGCTGTGAAGCACTGCAACTTGCCTGCCAAGTAGAATGAAGTAAAGCCCAGGCCAGAGAAAGCAACTAAAACAAAAGGTGAAAGAAACAGAAATAGAAAATATTAAAAATAAATCCAAAGTCCTGTAAGAAACCATATAAAGTAGAAAACAACACATCACACATCTCTTTATCTAAATTGTGTCTCCTAGACAGCAATAATATTAAATAGATAGCAAATGCTGTCTCATCCTTCTAATATAGACCCCCCCCCCCCCCCCCCCC